CTAGATACATCAGTCAACCAATAAGGAATCTCCACACTTAATGGCTCACTTTTGTTACTTCTCAAACCACTCCCTCTGACATTTTGCCAGGCACCATCCAGACTTGTTTACGAACTCTAACATTTCTCTGGCAAAATACCAGGTGTTATTTTTGACTTATTTACAGACCTTAACAATTCTCGACTCAAAATCTGCAAGTGAGGCTTGAAAGCTAGGATGCTTGCAAGCTTACCAAGTGACCTGTATGAACCTTAACTTTGAGAACTGTCATTTCAAGCATTTAAATCACCCTTAAGATTGTTGATCTTTTCCTTCCTACATTTTTATCCAGAGGTGAATATTGGAAAATAACTAAAAAATAGAATGCTGGTTGTATTGTTTACTAAGGAGAAGAAATGTCTGAAACAATTATCTAAGTCGGATCCCAATTTTTTTCTCTTTTTTCTCCTCCTCCTCCTCCTCCTCCTCCTCCTCCTTCTTTTTGAATTGTAATATGAATATCTTTTGCCACACTCTGCCCTAGAGAAGTGAGCATAAATCATACGCTCATAGGGCAGATAATATTTTTCCATATGTCATAATAGGGAATTATGTCCCTGATGAAGAGATTGGCATCAAAAAAGCCATATATAGGGTCTGGTTGTAGCTCGGTGGTACAGCACTTGCCTAGCCTGTGTGAAGCACTGGGTTTGATTCTCAGCACCATATGTAAACAAATAAAGTAAAGGTCCATTGACAACTAAAAACAAAAATATTTTTTAAAAGACATATATAAGACTAATAGTGTGCCAAAAAACTAAAACACAGAATGAATATAATCCTCCATAATTAAAATGTGGCTCAAGCGGTAGCGCGCTCACCTGGCATGCATGTGGCCAAGGTTCGATCCTCAGCACCACATACAAACAAAGATGTTGTGTCCACTGAAAACTAAAAAATAAATTAAAAATTTAAAAAATCCTATAAAATAGATACACATCACCAATATTGATTTACACACAGGATCATGACACTGGAAAATACATCAAAATATGTATCTTTCTGATAATGGTTATCACAGTCTTTGTGTTCACAAATACCAGTAACAGAAAATAGATGAGCTGAGAAATTAAGAGACTGCCATTAGATCTGTCTTAACAAATGAGGTACATCAAAAAATAAAGCTATGCTGGGTGTGGTGGTGCATGCCTATAATCCCAGCAGCTTGAGAGGCTGAGGTAGGAGGATTGTGAGTTCAAAGCTAGCTTCAGCAATTTAGTAAGGGCCTAAGCAATTCAGTAAGGTCCTGTCTCTAAATAAAACATAAAAAAGGGCTGAGGATATGGCTCAGTGATTAAGTGCCCCTGGGTTCAATCTTAGTACCCACCCCCAAAATCTAAAGCTATTTCTAATCCCCACTGGGTCTTAAAAAATGCCAACACCCTTACCCATGTTCACTTGCCTTAGCATCTCCCCTTCTGCACAGATGGTAACTGCAGTATCCCTGAGTCCACCAAGAACTTTCCAATCACCACTGGCACTACCTGAATCAAAGGGATTAGTCCTTGGATAATCTTGAGCCTCACCCAAATTAGGCAGTTTTAATGATGGGAGCAGTAATTAGTGGAAAATTAAAGAGAATTAAAGAAAAAAAACATTAATTTTTTATCCTATTGATGAATCTGAAAAGGGCTAGAAAGAAACTCTAATTCATGTTGGTAAAAATTATCCCTAATTGCTGCCTTTCTCAATATGATACCTTTCCTTCCTGTTACACATCCTAGCCTCTGCTCCACCCACTTGCTGAATCTTTGTAAGATTAACTTATTTATTCTGAAAATACTTATAAATTGACCATGAGAGGCTAGACCCTGGGGATACAACAAGGAACAAGATACAGCTCAAGGATCTCACAGTCAAGTATTTTGCCATGACAGTATAATCCAGATTTTTATGGCCTATAGTCAATAAATTCTATTGACTGGACATTGAAGAAGTTTCATCCTAGCCTACCTCAAACTAATCCAGATCATCTGACAATGTTTTGACCATATCACAAATGTTCAAAACATTGTAGGAGGAAAAGTAAAATAAAATATTTGGCTTTAAGATTTTTAATAGCTTTTTACTTCTAAAAATCAGTAAGCTCAGAGGTGAACTGAAGTCTTAGCTTTTAAATCTCTCCCTTCCATAATTCAATAAAGGTTGCAAAAATCATATAGGCCAGTCTCAGTGAGGGTTGTAGAACACTTACGGAAACTTGAGGTGCATCATCTCTCTATGTACCTCTCATTCATTCTCAGGAGGTCAAATTCAGATCCTTTCTATTTCTGCAGAGGTGGTGGTGGAGACTGGCAGGTGCATGTTTATAGTGAAACAGCCAAAACCCAGCACAAGGGCAGGGACATCATAGGAGCCCAGTGAATATGTGCTCAGTACTCTCTCTACCAACTGGATTTTCTCACTACTAACCTCCCTCCAGACCTCCGCCATGGAGATCTCTCATCTAACCACACACCAGGTTGACACTTCCAATATCAGGGACTTCATGAAATTCTCTCTTCCCCTCCTTACTTTTGCTGATGCATGACTTGCTAAGGTCACTACCTCAGCTCTACCAAGTCCAAGAGCTGTTCTTTCACATTATCAGGTGCCAAGAGGCCAGGAAGAGTGGGTCCACACTCCCATCCTAATGTCAACATTGTTTTCTTTCTCCCTTGAAGTTCAAAATCTGGTCGCATTACCCTTAATTTTTCTTGTTGTTGCCATCTACTAGCTTCTAGATAATCCCCTGGAACCTGGTTTGTAGTTCTTAATTCCTCCCAAAACTTTGCTGTCATTTTAAAATTTGAGTGTGAGATCCATCTATCAACCCATCTTCTTGCCTCCTTGAATTCTGCATTACCAAAACTCCCCTCAACTCTGGTTTAGTGAATTTCTCCCAAGACCATCTTCTGAACATCAGAAAGAGTGTTCTCCCTGATCCTTATATCTACAATATGGCCCCAGACAGTGAAAAGGAAGAAGCCATTTAATCTGATTTACTTTCCTCTTCTGCTCCTCTTATTTCTTATAGGTGCTATGCATGCTTTTTTAAAAAAACTTTAGTAGATATCCTCCCCAAGAATACAGACATTTTTTCCAATTTATCACCTCCTTTCCAGTATTTTTTTAATAACTGTTTGGGGTCACATCACAAACCACTCACTCACCTGAAT